TCAAAATTGCTACCCTCTGTTTTTATTATGGGACACGTAGAAGAATTCGACAGGAAGTCTTAGCTCAAGATCATTACTTCCAATTGAGTTTCCCTCAAAGCCTTAAGCCTAGAGTGTTTTTTTTTTTTTTTTTTGCTATTGTTGGTTTTTGTATGTTAGTAAAACACTGCCACAATTGATGCAATCCCTATTTTGTAAAAGCTTGCACTCACTTGTATATATTGGTTGAAAATCAATGCAAACATTTTCCTTCCAAGAAAGAACTTCAAGGATGTTTTGTAAGGGCTTGCACTCACTTGTATCACCCCTCGGGGCGAAGCATGTTTCAGCAGTTGAAAGAGTTGGCCTTGAAAATCCTCGAGGGATGATACACACGAGAACCAACTGAGGCACATGCAATTCACACCATATCTGAAAATATTGGGAGGATAAAAACCAATCAATCGCAAGAAAGCCAGTAGTCAAAAAAGTTGGCGTGTTTTGCGAGTCCCTATCTCTTAACGCACTATCAGACTTTTGATCCATCTCTTGTTGATTGAAGAAAGCCTTATATGATCTCAAACAAGCGAGAAAATCTCTTTCTATATAATTAGATTAGTCAAGCCCAATAGTTTTTACCATATTTATGCTTAATTTTTCTTTATCTCCTTATTTCTGAAAACAAAAAAACATAGTTTTCTCTTTACGAGAAGCGATCTTTAAATGTTCTCTCTATGGATAGTGCGAAATTCTATGAAATCAGAAAGTGTCCTTATGTTTAATATATATTTTTTTTTGCTTGTCTTCTATCTCTTAGGGGAGTGAGTACTTGGTTTGCAATTTAGCCATTTTAGCTATCTTTTTTGTGGGATAAGCAAACTACTGCATTGATATTTATCTAAGAGGCCAAATGTCTAGAGATTCAACAAGAAACAAAAGCCACACAAAGTAGGTAAACCTTCTTTTTCTAGTAACCCAGATGGGACTTATCTTCATGTAATTAGGTGTTATTCATGGCAACCTTCTCTCCTTCCTCCCTCCCTCTCCTTTCCCCTCCCTTTTTTTTGATAAGTAAGATGAATTTCATTAAAAACCGAGAAAAGGTTATGTACAAGAGAGATTTCAAACAGAGCCTCTCCTTTTCCCCTCCCTTTTTATCAGTCACACACACAAACAGAGCCAAATCAACAAGAAGGTTAGTTATAAAATGTCAAAGCTTCTGTGTATGACACAAATGTAGCCTATGTATATGAAGAAAATCAAGACTTGTCGCCATTGTTGTGTTCAACTTTTTCTTGATTTGTGGTAAGATAATTTCTATTAACCGAAAATGATCCATATACAAAAGGCATACTCCATATACAATCGGCACTCAAAATCAAATGAAAAAAAAGATCAACGGGGATGACTGATCTTCTAAACAGAGCAGCAGAAGAGCAATCATCCCTAGATAAAATATATATTTAAGATGCCTTAATCAAAATTACCTCAATAAGATCATAAGGGACCCTACAAACACCCGGCCCAAATTTCACAATCAAAAACAACATATGGGTCAAATTAAACAATCAGATCCATGGGTCTAGACACATCCAAAGCGTGATGCAATGTTAAAAGGAACAACAAAGCCCCCAACCAAGGAAGTAGCTACGTCCGGTATCTTCTCTCTTATTTTCGATATAATATGGTGCCCCAAGGTGTGTAGGAGCGGATCAAGTCTATATTGCCACAGAGCAACAGCCTCGTCTGGATCTCGCGTTAAAGTTATCACTCGACTAACACACCATGGCTTCGTAAACATGTTATTCAGACCTAGAAAATGTTGTAGCAAAGGACCAATTCATTGGAAATCTCAAAGTGATGCAGATCGGACCGGTCTTACAGGTTGACTTTTTTGGAACCATTTCTACATATGGGTGTTTCGAAACCTATGTCCAGTCAAAAACGACAAGACAAAATAAACTCATCATACTCCTAATTGAGGATGTGATGACTCGGTGTGGATTTCAGACAAATTCTTTTGTTTTTGACCTAAAAAACGCATTTTTTGCCTTTTTTTTTTTAGCTATTTTTCGTAGTTGAATAATTTTCCCAATTGAAGTCAAAATTGAGTTATGTGAGTTCTAACTTAATTCCAGTGATTAGTAGTTTTTAGTCATATGATTAGTTTTGAACTTTCCTTTTTTAGCAAAATCTATTATAATAGCCGAATTTTGTGATTAGTCATTAATTAGATCACATTTTGATATTTCTTAGTTGGTTTTATGATTTTCAGTATTATTTAAACTCTTGTAAACCTTAGGGCTACAGAGGAGACTATTCTCTCTTTTTTTCTCAATTCATCTGACATTCTTAAGAATCAATAAATCAATTGAAATATTTAGGACTAATATTCTATGCAAGTCAATAGGCCTAGAATGGTATTCTAAACAAATATCAATACACAAAGCAAAGTGTAGTTTCATGTTGTTTCTCAACCCATTCTTGCTCCTTATACCTATGTTTTTACACGTTTCCTGTATCACAAAGGATCATGTCCTAAATACTATGAAACACGGATACTTCGTTGAGGTTGACGTACTCGAATACTATATCGAATACGATACTCGTCGGATACTCGAAGATACGTATCGGATACACCTTCTACATATTTGATAATAATTAAATATTATGATACTTCACAGATATTTTTGTAATAGAGCAACATATATAATTTTTTAGTTGAACTTTTAATATCTCTTTTCGAATTCACATACCATACAATACATTAACAAAAATTTCATATTACTTCAAAGACACATTAGTGTTTTTTAAGTATTATCTACAATTACATGTCAAAAGACCATATAATAAAGCTATTACATTACAATCTTAGCAAAAATTACTTCTAAATACTAAGTAAATATTAGTTTTGATTCCTTTAATTAGTCCATTCACTTTGTGAATATACCACAACGGCACGATATATATTTTCTTAAAACTAAAAAAAATTACTAATTTTCCTTATTATATGTTAAAAAACTACCAAAACATATAAGTGTTAAGTTGGTTGAAAATAATAAAAATATTAAATATATTTTATTATAGTCGTATAATAGTCGTACTCGTATCTTAATTTTTTAGACTTTGTCCTATCGTCGTATTCGTATCTTATTATACTCATATCCCGTATCCATATTCATGCTTCGTAGCCTAAATATAATAGTACCATATAAAGGGAATGCCATATTGAAATACTTCAACTCTAAAGTTATCTCCACCTGACATAACACTTGACCAAAAACCGAAAAATCAAAAATCTAGTAGCATTCATCTATGTCCATTTTGATCCAACAAAAAAAAAAATTATTATGGTGGATCCAACAAAATTTTACATTGGTTGTCGGCTATCTAACGCAACCTTCTTTTTTATCTTGACTTAGGACAAGCAGCAGCGATGAATACAACACTTTATTTGCTATAGATTGAGCAGTCTCTCCCTTGTGTCTTTTTAACAAGAGTCCTAACTTTATTTTTAGTTGGAGTCCTTTAAGAGGCAAAAAGAAAAATAAATAAATAAATAACAGATGGGCTTGCAAAAGAGAGATCGATACATACAAATGATGATGTTGATTTACACATACGCCCCCTCCTTTCTAGGGCCAATGATAGAGTGGTCCTTCATGTTTTTCAGATTTGCACACTTTTGTCACAGCTCCTGTGGACTTCAGATTACCCATTTCACAGGCTTGTCACCATCTTGAAAGAGAGAAAACGGAATGGAGTTATATTTTTTGGCCATATAGTGTGTGTGTGTGTGGGGTCATACCTAGGGATGCGATCCCTTCTACTACACTTTTTTTTTTTTTAATTATTTTCTTGACATATCATTTACCATTAATGAATAAGAGACCCACTTACATACAATGAATTCTGTTTGAATGAATGATAAATAATATATCAAAAATAAAATTAAAGAGAAAATATATTGGAGGGTATCTTACTCCTATCTGAAGCTAAGTCTTGAGCCGAGTTCATTAAGGAGCAGCTCATCAATAGAGAGGGAAAACTATGTTGAGTGTGATATTAAAATTGAGTTTACACTTTTTGAAAAGAGCAAAAAATGGGATTATCAATAATGGTTTATCATTTCTGAAGGGATAGAAAACAATCCGTATCAAAATATCATTTCACAATAGTCGAAAAAAGACTAAAATATTTTAATTTTCAAGGAGATTGGTTCACGAAGGTTAAAACAAATCAAAATCAAAATATTAAAATTTTGAGATGTTTTGAGATATTTCGTCATATTTTCACCATTGTTACAAAATGTGTCTAGACATTTTTAAGATGTTTAGTAAATTTCAACCAATATTTCAAATTTTTTCAAAAATTAATCTCCAAATTTTTTATTCATTTCTATTCATTTTCCAAAATATTTTCGTTCATTAAGTGACCAAAACAATGCACCAAAATAAAATTTTGAGCATTGCCCATATTGAGGACATGAAAATCAATCCTTGCCCTCTTGACCTTTTAGCTGAAAAAATCTTGAGAGAATCAATGTGACCAAACCCAGATAGGCATAGTTTGCTCACTCACTCTTAAACCTTACCAAATAGACTAATAATAGACAATGACATCAAATGTACACTGTAAATCCATCTGAAAATTGATCATGTTGTCTTTCAAGCAACTACAACTGCCAGGTACCTGGAAGATCAAACTGTTTATCAACTAATTTCCCCCGTCAACTTGCTAGATCAATATGTAGACATAAGCATTATTAGGATTACAATAAAGATTGTTATACATGAACACAACATATTCAGAGTCGTATGTGGCAAATCAAATGTTTTCAACCCACAAATGCTAAGGGAAAGATGACATCAGGAAGAGTTGCAGTACCTATAAGTGAAATAACAAGGATGACAACTATTTTCGTCATTATTTAAAACAATCATCGATTTTCCCCGGAGCTGGAGAAGGAAAAACTTCTGCATGCTTCAAGCCGAAAAGAGGATATATTCCCCCCCTGTTATCTAAATGCTTCTGGTAGAACGAGATGAACGGCTGTGACTACTTAGACTGTGATTTTCTTTCTTCCACATTGCCTCCAGATTCTGAAAGCATTTCAATGGTCTAACCTGTACATATCCCGATAAAAAATAATAGAAATACGCAAGAAATAAGGTAGAAATAAGTAGCGAAATTCTGAGGACCACTGGAATACAGTAATAAGCTTATTTCCCCAGAAACCCTACAACCAAATTAGCACAAGAAACGGCATAAGGCCTATTTGGTGATCCTTAACATCAATCAAAATATTCTTGGAATGTTTACCTAGCTTTTACAGAGCAATATTAGGAATTAAATATTTGTTTCATTGCAACTTTTAAGCTATGGTTAACCACTAAAAAAATTTTCAGTTCCTATAGGGGTAGGTATTTTGTACTTAAAAATACATGCATAAAAAGTAATAGAAAACTCCTCCCCATTAATGCATCGTCCAACGTCGCAGAAAAAAAGATGCAATTCCTTTCTGGTAAAGAAGTGCCTATGACACGTGCGCACAAAAACACAGACAGAGAAAGACGGACAAACCAACCTTCCAACGCCTCTTGTGACCAAGGCTATTATAAATGGACTCCAACCTCCGGATTATTTGCCTGAATGTTGGTCTCTTGGATGGATTCTCACTCCAACATTCCTCAATCAACCTGTAGCCAAAAGATATGATCACAAATCTACATAGATGACCTCTAACCAGAAAATTATTTCTGGGAAATATAATTAGTTATGGTTTAAGTTGTGGGATCTAAATCAATGAACACCTTAAGAAAAAATGACAAATACAAAGTTTTTGGAGATAAATATTTCCAGGCACTACCTAAAGTACATAATCTCATGAATAACAAATAATCTATGACTAATCCAAACGCTTCTAGTTCCTGAACCAATCGCCAAACCGAATGAGAATAAATGATTAAATAACACCCACTTCAGTCCTTGTTAGTGGGGGTCTAGGAAGGGTGGATTCGGTATAGACCTGCTGCTTTAAATTATTTGCACAATGTGATTGCCCTCATATTCGAACCCACAACCTAGGGTTATAGGGCCAAATTTTAGCAACTGAACCAGTGACTCTTTGCATGCAAAATGACTATAATGAGATGATAGGAAAGCAGATTACTGGGCAATAGAATGATTGCAGTATTGGTTGTCGAATTTCATACAGTGACATGAGCCTCAGTGTCCAACTTTTGCTTTTAAGGTATCTCAAGCCTTAAATTTCCCATTCGATAAATAACCATATGAGTGGCCAATATTATGTTAATGAATAACAAGAAAAGAAGCAGAGAGGGAGGGGAGAGACCTATTGTGCCCACTGCTCAATCACATTTCTCATTCCCACAGAGAGAGAGAGAGAGAGAGAATTGACTGCATCACCGAGTATTTTCATCTTATTTACCGCCACTAAGTGGCTGAGCCAAATCATGCTGTTTGCCAAGTCACTAATACCATTTTCTGTTTACCTATCACCGTAATGACTTCCCTTCATTTTTTTCAAAAACCCATGTCTCTCTCTTTCTCCGTGTTAGCCTTGTCAAAGATAAGGATTAAAAACAGAAAATTATCCATTAAACGATGAGATATAGAAGTTGCAGACTTTATAAAGCTAAAATAGTACAATATCATGTTATCATAGGCAAATAAGGAATCTGATGTAAAACAAAAGCACAATTCATAAAAAGAATAGGAAATATACTCTCTAAGTCCATGGGCATAGCACTTTGCTGGAGCAATAAAAGGAGGCCGCTCTTTTGCAGCATATGACTTAGGGACTTCATTTTCTTGCTTTGTGGAAAATGGTGGGCAGCCTTCAATCATCTATGAGTACAGCACATCAGAATTATCAATTTATCAAGCCTGCTATGACCATTGGTTTTAGTCAAAAAAGCACACCCCAAAATTTCATATGGTTAAATTATAGACCCAAATTTAATGCAGTGCATTGCTTAAATTTTAGGTTTCAAATATAGATGAACTGTTAGCACCCAAAAAAAATGGAAAAAAAAAATACAAAATTTTTTTTTGGATAAGTAACAAACTAATTATAATTATAATACAAGAATAGTAAAAGAGAAGATTGAGGGTGGACAAATAGTCCAAACTTTAAATTAAACAATACAAGAAAAAGTCCCGACTAAGGCATCAAGCCTAAATCACAACAGTCAAAATAATCAACTACAAGCAGCTTGTCAATTTCCCAAAATGCCAAAGAGAGCAATGTTGTCAAATTCAGTGGAGAGCCATGCCCAAAAAGAAGCACAAAAATGGATGCAGTTCCATGAAGCCTATTTCTCCTTGCACTTATCCTCAAGATTCTCTCCATCCAAATTCCAAACCACCCATAGTTATAAAAATAGCACAAGCCCAAAGAGTAACTCCTTTGCTATGCTATTCTTTACAAAACCATAGAAATCCACACAAAACATGGATGAAATAGACTTCAGCGTGTCCAGGAATCTCAAAACATTTGTTCCATAAACACATTGCAATCGGGCAATGCAAAAATTATTGATCCACACTCTCACAATCCTTCCTACACAGTACACACCATTGGGGGAGTAAACATTTTGTAGGTTATCTTTTCTAGAGGATATCATTGGTGTTAATCTTACCACAAGCAACCACCTATGCACAAACTTGCCCTTTCAAAGCCAACTTTACCTTCCAAATTTAAAGAAACAAGTTGCAAGTAAGAGACTACGAGTGCATACATGAAGGAAACAGAGAATACAGTGTTCTAAAATGACAAGTCCCAAGGTTCAAGGTGCTTTCTTTTTTTCTCAAGCCCATTCCATATAGTTATCATTCTATCCTTTATAGAATGCCCAACAAAAATAGGTGCTATGAATAGAAAAAAAAAAAAGACAGAAACATGGGGTACTTGTCAGTTGTCACCTGCTTTAGATCTAGCATCACTTCAATTTCAAAACATTTGCTTAGCAAAATTGTATTAGAACAATGGAAGGTGAAGTAGCAATTACTAATTTTGCATGGAACATTCCATCTCCGTTAAAGAAGCAAATATTTGTTAACATTTACCAAAAAAATATTTGTTAACATAACATGAAATTTAGGGAGTGTTTGAAGCGGCATCCAAACGGGCTTTCCAGACTAGGAAGTCCTTTCCAAAAAGTATGAACAGTTTGGTGAGTACTCACTTCTGAATTCTGGATTAGAAGTGCATCTTTGGGTTGCACATTTTGAGAAGCTGCACTGGGTGGCTACAGGCTTCTTGAAATAGTGTTTTTTTGACTTCTCGCAAAGTCATTTACCTGATTTAAGTGACAAAAAGTAAATTCCACTACTGCCCTTATTTTTTCAAGGTTAATATCTATTTTTTACCTTTATTTTTTGTCTGCCCTACCCCACTTCATCTTCTTCGTTCATTTCATTCTCTCTAAACCTGGCAGATAGTTCTTACATTCACTACAAGTCTGTGATACCATTTCTAGGATGGACTAATAGTTTGAGAAGTTGCTTTAAACGTAGCCTTCATAACCAAACCAAATGTTCCATTCTACCTATTTCATACTTAACTTTCCAGAACTATTTCATACTTTTAAAATGATTAATTACATGAACATCTTCCGTATATTCCGCATTAGAGCTATTAATATTGGAAGCCTACAACTCATTTTGTGTAAAGCACACCTCACTGGCATGTAGTACCCAAATGGCAGAAGGAAATTTGGTCCACGATTACAACTTAATGCATTATATCTGATCATCGACAATCTGCCTCAGAAATTAGTATTGTAGAATAATTTGATAACTCATCAAATATACTCAATAATCAAAAAGTGATGTTACACGCACATCCAATGCGTACCTATTGATATGAAAATCAAGGCAAGACACCTATAACCTCTGTTCTATTATGAGCAGCGCCTAAAAGATATACTCTATTGCTATCTCTTATAGAACCAAAAACAGTTCATGCTACAGGGACGAAAAATTATATGACTGCCTTATGTTGCCTATAGATCCATATGAACTTTCTACGAAAAAAATTGCAAGATGCTTTTCTGCTATCAACAAAATGTGAAGAAACAAATGCATGGGGATATCTAATGACAGAAAAAGGAATTAGGCATGTTCAACTTCTAATAAAAGAAAGCAAGACATAGCCAAAGCATAGTTACTTGAGAAACATTTACCTCATGCAAAATTAAAGCAAATGAAAAAACATCCACTTTGGTATCATACTCTTCATTTCTGAATACCTCTGGAGCCACATACCGGCCTGCCCATGACAACACAACAAAATTCCTAACAATCAAAATAATTATCATCCAGCAAGTCAATTAATAAAAAAACTATTGCAGATCATTGGACAAAATACATGCTCCAAATGCACTTATTTTCTGAAACAGATTAATGATGATTCGAAGAATCAACTACCATAGTGGACCCAAAATCTTGTGTTGCCGTGTCAGCAATTATAATCATATAGATGCACAATAGTAAGCATGATTTTCAACATTTGAAAAATATGAATTATCTCCACTAGCAGCATACTTACAATAAGAATCTTGACATGTCAAAGGTTTGTCTTCTTTAACTCCACCGGTAACTTTAAGTAGCTTGCTAACTCCAAAGTCTGCAACTTTCAGATGCCAAGAATCATCCCGCAAAATATTCCTGTTACCTTACCCGTAAAAATAAGAAAGTGTCTTGCACAATCAAACAACAAAGAAAGAAAAAACAGAAAAGGGGGATTTTCTAGGGCATTGAGCGTAGCACGTACATGTGTATATAACACATGAAACTTGCCGTGTGCATGCGTGTGTGCTTGTGTTGTTGGTAGTCTTTAAAAGGGGAGGGAGTGTTGGTGGGGCGGAGTGTCTGGCTAAACGAGAAACTTACGAAGGTTCAAGATCACGGTGAATTATTGGTTCAGGTTTATTCTCATGCAGATAGTTCATTCCCCTGCAACATAACCAATGAAGAATTAGAAAAAGTTTCTGAATCCAACTGCTTAAACAGTAGGGCCACCTAAAGATCATAAAAAATACAACTGTTCGGGCCTCTTCATGAAAAACACTCACTGCACGGAACCAAACCTAACCAGTAAATTCTTACTATTTCTCAGGGCAAAAGAAGGGAAGGAGGGGGTGTGGGAGAGGACAAGCCCGAATATGCAAAAGACCAGTCATCAACTTAGCAGAACTCAAGACAGCTTTAGTCCCAAGTACCAAGCATTTATTAACTTGTAAATGTTGACTATTCACACTATGTTTATATTCAATAATCATCTCAACCGCCATCCTTGACCAGATGGATAAGCTTACGTTTCTTCATTAATTTTTTCAAAATCAAGAGAGATCTTAAATGATGCAATGAAAAAACAGAGACACCATGTGGCTGGATACAATCAAACAGCAGAGGCAGAATTATCAATTTGAAGGAAAATAAGTCTGAAAAGAAAAATTTTCCCTCGAGAAAGAAATCTTTTATAGTTTAAGATTCAGATGAAAGTAAGCATACCCTTCATTAAGTTCTACCGATATTTACAGAATTGCAGATAAGCAGAAATCCAATTAAACTTCAACAACTCATGAATTGCCTAGACTAGTAGACTAAACTGATAATGAGGTAATAAGACGTAGATGAGCTGACCCTTAACCTTTCCAAGGACAAATTGTAACTCCCACAAAAACAAAAAAAAAGGAACCTTTTGATTCCCTAAACAACAAGACAACCCTCATTGATTTAAACATTCAGTAGCCTCCTGAATGCTTGCATCACTCAAGCTACAACTCATGTATCAACTTGTCTCAAGTAGAAGAACTTATTTAAAGAAAATCCCAGTTTCTTCATTGCAATCTATGACACGCACTCTCTGCAGAAGTTTGGTTTTCGATTCATGCAAATCAAACTGATTCGTGCTTCACTGACAAGCTGTCGACCTGATTATGGTCCATCCAATGCTTCTCATGTTCTGCTTCCAAAATTTAAGTAGAAATAAAAAAAAATAAAAAAATCCACACCTCTTGCTTGAGATTGGTGGGGGGGTCTACCTCCCAACTGTTTTGTTAATTCTTGTTTTCTTAGCATACTTTTAATGCATTTGACTATCTAAGTCTGCACTGTTGATGATAATCAAATCAACGGATTAAAGAGAAAATATTAATAAAATCAAACGTCCAGACCATTGGTCAGAAATTTCCCAGGAAAGATACTGAATTCAATTACCAGGTACCAAAAAAAATATTATCACTCCTAATTATAATATAAGATTATTTTATGGACCTGGCGATATCCATTGCAAATCTCACAGCTGTCATCGGTTTTAGAGCTTTTTTTCTCTTCAAAAATGCACAAAGATCACCCTGCAATATACAAGGAATGGATATATGAGAAGATAGCTGTTACGCATATATCCTAACTCGAACAATTAAGCTTCAAAAGAAATTTTAAAATATCACCATAAGACTACAAGGAAAACAATGACAATCAAAGCATTAGCTCATATATTCAAATATCTCATAAGTTTGATTTTCTATTGTTGATTCACATGCTATGAAAAAGTTCTCTTATACAGGAAGGAGATGAAGAGGAGGTGTGATATCAAGCTATCAAAGAACCAGGACTCTGGTAAAAATTCCAACACTATGCTACACACTGATCTAGTTTGCTTATGGGAAATCAACTGAATTGTAGAATTCACAGCAAAGCAGTTGAATACTTAACAATACCCGAAATGAAAACCCCACTTATGATCTATTAAATATCTATGGACATGAAACAAGTGCCAACTCATGCCTGTTCAAATATCACACAATAAATTTGCCAGATTGAGCTATTGGGAAGCCAAAATCCCCCGCTAACCACCTGATATTATGACATCTATGACTTCAAATATTTCCTCAATATGACATCAGCATGTACAGGGTCTTTTCCTCATTACAATTGTAATGATCTGCCAAGTACACGTACAAATTCCTCAAATCAGGATTTAAACATATACCAAAAAAAGGAAGCAAAAAAGCATCCAACAACTACACTCAGATTTTTTGTGCCAAAAAAAACTTCAGTCAGGTTCATGTACCACTGGCGTGTATAGCATTCATGTTCAATTTCGGCAAATTCTATTATCTTATCAAATATTTACTTTCCCAATACCCACACTGAAAGTGCAATGATTGCATAAGCTATTAGAAATACACTTTGTTATAGAACCAACAATCCAAATGGTATATAGCACAACACCTCACGAAAATACGTATCCATCTACATTTCCACCACCGTATCATGGCATAACTACATCAAAATCCTACCTTGTATGCATACATACAAAGAGACGAAAATAAAATTCGTTTATAATAATCACATTAGAACAAGAAAAGCACACATATATAAAGCAGTGTATAAAAAACTACTCCAATACAAATACTTTGTATCCGCGTTAGTAGAATATTGTACTATAAGTACCACAACTAGAATCAATAGTCAGATAGAATAATCGCCTCAAAAGGGCATCCTACTAACTAAAATGATATTAATTATATTAGAAGCATCCAACTCAATACCAATTGCCTATGATTGGAGAGTCCCCTCAACCACATAAATCAAGCTTAGGTGTCCTACTCCTTCAACGTTGGATACAAGTTCGTTTCACAACCTCACTCACGTGGGACCCCGAATAGCGAACGCGAGAAGGAGGGGTAAACACCATATCTAGACTGGAGGTAGAAGGGGTTGTTCTGGAGGAAGAGGAAGCGATCCGATTAGTGGTCAAAAAGTTCTACAAAGAGCTTTACGTGGAACCGCATTCGTTTCGACCGAAGCTAGATGGAGTCTAATTTGAAAGCATCCCTACGGAGATGTGTGATTGGTTGGAAATGCCTTTTGAGGAAGAGGAAGTTTTCAAGGGTCTAGTGGAGATGTGCGGAGACAAGGCCCCAGGAACACCCCCCCCCCCCCCCCATGGCCCAAACAAGCACTAAAGACCCAGCTGTGATGACTGAGACAATGTTAGACCATCCGCCCAAAAACCAATTAGCAGTGGGTAGAAAGACCCCTTCACTATATAAATCAACCTTGGGTGGTCCTAAAATCGTTCAATATGGGACACAACACTCTTGGCAATATCTACTCAAACAAAAGAAAGGGGATAAACATATCTTGGGTTAACAGGAATGAACTTCTCAAAAGGAAAAGTACAGTGTTCTTTATCATTAGCAACCAAAGGGAATTTGAGAATATTTTGCAAATGCAAGATTTAAAGAATTAAATTGGACCAGAGTAATAAGAACAGGACCCTCACAAGCCTCATCAATTGCCTTAAAGACTATACGTGGTTCGTACCACAAAGATACTAATAACACAATCACTCAAACATCAGAGGTTCAAGTGTTCAACAATAATTAATGCAACTGAGAAAGCCTGGAATGAGAAAGACCTTTGGTAAATATTCTGTCACTATCATCATTGGACTACTTTGAGTTACGGCACCCAAAAATTGGACCACATTTGGATGTCGTAACTTCTGCAGCAATTCAAGCTCATCCCCAAATGCTCTCCTGCACAGAGCCAACACTTCGAAAACATAAATGCAGAATAACAGCTTATCACGGGAAAGTGTGCAGCGAAATGGATTGTTGTATTCTTACAACTCACACTTTATCCTCCTCAGTAATCACTTCCTCCCCAAGCTTTTTAACAGCAACTCGTGTTCCACGCCACAAGGCAATACGGAAGGTTCCCTGTGCAATTTTTTTCAAATAGTAAATTAAAGGTGAAAGACTACAACTGAATAGAATACAAAGAAGAATGATGGCTGCAACAAAACTTAATCAAATCAACCACCCTAACTATATACTCAAATTCCTACTAAGCTTCAAACACTCAAATGATACTGCAAAGAAGCAATCATCTTTGATCTGAGTAAACCAAGTGAATGACATATAAAAACATCAATTGTTTAGGTGGCAGTAAGTATTATATTTTAGGCTTTCCTATCCCCATCTCTTCATCTCCTTAGCCATGTATAGTCTATAGCTTGCAGTACTCATTCATCCATCCTACAATTTGAGTCCTTAGCAAGCTTCATAACCTTATTAACCAAATAGAACTTTTTTCTTCCTCACATGCCAAACCCCTTCTGCTATAAAGCTGGTTTGCTGAAATGTGAAACCTTGCACTACCCTAGCGCTACATGTAAGATACCCCAAATCCTTCCGTAATATAGGAGTTACAAGAGGAGCTTAAATATCCTTACCACAAGCCCTCATAACCACAGAACTCAAAAAAAATTGCAGGAACGAATGGAAGTCACTTTCCTATTGAAATATCACATTTCCTACTGCATTTCCTCCACCTACATAAGAGTAGACCAGCACTTCCCCAACATATGCAACCCATCCAATGCAGCACTATATTTATGAACACCAAAAAGACCTGAAAGTCCTATAATGTATGGCATTTAATTCAAAAACATTCAAAAACAAATGCCTGCCCACAAACATTAAAAACACCTTGCCAATAATTTAATTACAGCAAAGCATTTCTAGTGAAAAGGAAAGTGCTAGTAACTCGTATTTTACAGCTAGGTTCAACGATTTAATCAACCTTGTAAAATGTTCAAACAACAGATTCCCCAAAGCAAAATTCAGAAATCTCATACGGCTTCATTTTTTTTTTTTTTTGGTTTGATCCTACAGCTTCAATAAATTACCATAACACAAGGATTTTCTACGGCACATAATCTAGTGCAGACTAGACTACAGCATATCATCCATGTAAGCACAGTAAATGCAAGGACATACAACATAATTAAGAAGTAAATAAAATAAAGAAATGATTAATACTCCATATAAAAAGCAATTAAAGCATGATAATGAAACTAGCAAATTCTCCATAACATGCAATGTCAAAACATGCTAGCTAGTTCAAGTGACTTCCAGACAAAAAAGACAAGGGTTACGAACCATACAAAAGTACAATGATAGAACAAGAAAGTATTTTACCTTAGTTATATCAACACTGTTTGTAAAATCTAGTTCCTTTGGATCAATTTCATATTCTGGGACTTCACGGACGCTTTTGACATGCATAGGGGCCATCTAAAGGGAAAAAAGATTTATCAAAAAAATAGAGAAGCAACAAAAGAGAGAGTCAATTTATAAACAGCAACAATTATTTTACAACACAAAAGGTAACATATCGTATAAGCCTTACCAGAGGCTTAGCACCATGTTTCTCCAGAATTTTAATCACATCAAGCATTTTATAATGTATTGCATCTGCAAGAGGCTGTTAAAGCAAACATCAGATCACAGTGAAAAGGTATAGCACTACAAGGAAAAGACAGTATTGTCCTTCAGATAACTGTCAAGTGGATACAAGTTCTTTGAATACAAAACAAACAGCGTGAGAGATGTCAATCGATAAACATTTCAAACTCTATGTTGCCTACAAACATGCCAATAGATGGTACAACTTTCTATATACTTCTTCAAGATCCTTGTAGTTGTGAGGGGAGTGAGGCGCTACAGATTGAGAAACTTCTTTTCTGTATGTTTGAAAGTCAGTACCAAATGAATACTAAATTGCAAACAGAAAGAAAAAAAGTAAAAGAAATAAATTTTCATGAAAATTACAGACACTTGAAATAAACGTAAGTGAAAAAGGGATACAAACTAAGTGTAGAGCCCCCATATATATAGCCAATAAAAGTTACAATATGGATAAAAAGGTAAAACGGGAAAACTCTAATAAACCCTAATAAATTAAGTTGTTATAATTCCAACACGCCCCCTTAAGCTAAGCGCAAAAATGTCAACTAAGCCAAACTTGTCAACGGAGTTCCGAAGAATGGATAGAGCGATAGGTTTAGTGAAAACATCCGCAACCTGATCACTAGTTCCCACAAACACGATGGAGTGACAATACCACTACTAACCTTCTCCTTAAGAAAGTGAAAATCGATCTTTATATGCTTCGTCCTCTCATGTAATACAAAGTCAGAAGCGAGCTGAATAGCAAATTGATTATCACAATATAATGTAAATGAAGAAGTCACTGAAAATTCCAACTCGTCAAGAATCAATCGTAGCCAGATAATCTCACATGTGCCAAGTGCTAGTGTCTGATACTCTGCCTCTGCTGACAAGCGAGAGACAATTGATTACTTCTTGCTCTTCCAAGAGATAAGTCCCTCGAAATGCATAGCAGCCCGTAGTAGATAAACTGTCATACGCTCACCCATAATCTGAATCTAAACAACAGGCTAGAAAACCAGTCTCAAATCCTGATGCATAGAACAACCCAAGTTCAGGACAAGACTTGAGGTACTGAAGAATATGATAAACTACATCAAGATGAGTATAACATGGTCTATGCATGAACTGACTAACTCGACTGACAACGAATAAAATGTCTAGCCTAGTATTGGCTAGGTAGATAAGTCTACCTACCAACCTACAATCGGATATCTCAACTCTCCACCTTCAGCAATAAGCTTCAGGTTTGGAATCGTGGGTGATAATGCCGGTTTGCACCCAACATCCTAGTGTCTGAGAGAAGATCCAAAACATACTTTCTCTTAAGAAAAAACAATACCCTTGCTGCTACGGGCAATCTCAAGCTCAAGAAAGTATCGCAGAAATCCAAGGTCCTTCACATCAAAGGCCTTCCCAAGGTCTACCTTGACCTATACAGTCTCAGAAACATCATCTCCAGTAAAAATAATATCATCAACATATACAAAAAGAATGACACACTGTCCAAAAGTATTCTGTCGAATGAAGCAAGTATGATCAGAATGACATCTGGTGAACCCTAAACGTACAACTACACCACTAAAGTGAGAGAACTAGGCTCGTGGTGACTGTTTCAGTCCATATAGAGACTTATACAGTCGACATACCTTTCCAGCATACTCTCCCTCACTACAAAAACTCGGTGGTGCATCCATATAAATAATCTCATCCAGATCACCGTGAAGAAATACATTCTTCACATCCAACTGATGAAAAGGCCAAAAATACTCCGCAGCCAGAGAAATAATCAATCGAACAGTAGTCAATTTTGCCACGAGGCAAATGTAGCTCCAAAATCACGACCTGGTACCTGAGTAAAGCCCTTCGCCACAAGCCTAGTCTTGTGAAGATCAATAGTACCATCCACAAAAAATTTCAAGGTGTAAACCCAGTGATAGCCAACAGGTTCACCCCTGAAGATAAAGAGGCAAGATCTCACGTATGATTACGCTGAAAAGTGTCCATCTCCGTCTGCATGACAAGAACCCACTTGCGCTCCCGTATAGCCTTTGAAACAGAGCGAAAAACCAGCATATCTGATAAGGTCATAATATAAGCTCAAAATGTAGGAGACAGATCATCACAAGAAACATAAGCAGATATCGGATATAAAGTCCTAGCAATCCAACCATAACAAATAATTGGACAGCGATCACGCCGCAGATAACGACGTCCTATCATCATCCTCCACTGACAATGTCTCATCAGGTAAAGTAATTGGCTCAGTATCTGTAATCTCATCAATACTAACAACAGGTGCATCAATATGCTCAACGAACTGAAAAATATTACTTGCATCGTCTGAGGTAGAGGGGACATCAACAGGGGGATGAGAGCGATGGCGACAAACATAAACCTGCAAAGGAAAAGAGACTGATGACTCTGTACTAACAGGGATAAGTGGCTCTGGAGGAAGAGAGACTGATAACTCTGTAATGATAGTGACCAATAGCTCTAGCTCTTGTGGTAACGAAAAATCAAAGGGACTATTCTCAATTAGAGGGGCAGATACAGGTATGGAAGAAAAATAAAGAATATGCTCAAGAAAGGTAACATCTAAACTGTGATACATACGTCACCTAACAGCATCATAACACCGATACCCCTTAGACTGATGACAATAGCCCACAAAGACACAACAAATCACTTTATCATCAAGCTAATGACGAGTAAGAGACCGATCCTGAACAAAACATGTGCAACCAAAAACACAAGGGAGATCAAAAAAAGTGTCTGCTCAGAGAATAAGACCTATAAGGGAGCCCTATGCTGAAAAACACGACTCGGTGTACGATTGCACAAAAAGGTAAAAGTCAAAACAACAAAATGTCAATAAGATTTTGGTACCCCCATACCTCTAAGCATACAACGTACCATCCCTATTAAACTCCTATTTTTCATTTCAGCAACTCTATTTTTCTCAAAAGTATATAGACAAGTGAGCTGCTGAAGGATACCCTGAGAAAAAAGGTGAGACGCTAAGGCATCAGACACATATTCTTTGACATTATCCGATCAAAGAGCACGAACAATAACATCAAATTGTGTCTTAATCATCTGTAGAAATTGAGTGATTATAGGGAGTACATCGGACTTCCTCTGCAAAAGGTAGACCCAAATACAACAGATAGGGTCATCTATAAATGTCACATAGTATCGAGCACCTGACAGAGCAATAACAAGAGAGGATTCCCAAATATTAGAGAGTATTAAGTCAAATGGCTTGGGTGATTGGTGCATGCAAGGAATATAACTGGTCCTAACATATTTTAATAAAGAACATATAACACAATCAAGTTTACTATCAACACAAGCATTGCTCAAAGCAGAAAACATCATTCATAAATATTTAAAATTTGTATGTCCAAAACGGTCATGCCACAATAACTGAACAGTTTGCGACAAAAAATCATAACGATAAGTACTAGATAAAATACTAGTATGCTAGGAATAGATAAAGACAAAGCAAGTGCAGATGATAGAGGTGGAATAACTGGTAAAACTGGAGGTGCATCGTCTAAATAATATAATTCATCTCTCTCATGTCCCCTGATAATAATTATCTTGGTACTTAGATCCTGCAAATAACACAAATCATATAAGAACATAACTGCACAGTAAAAATCTTTGGCCAACTGATGTACGGATAATTGATTCATGGCCAACTTTGGCGCATGAAAAACTGAATGTAATGTAAAGTCATCTAGGAGGCGGATTGTATCCCTACAAATAATAGGGACATGTGTCCCATCTGCTAGCTGAACCTGTATATGTAATTGCTCGTCAAAAGTAATAAAGTGATTGGCCTCACCTATCATATGACCATTCGCACTCGAGTCCAGCATCCAAAGAGGAAACGGACTGGCGCGAGCATGAAAGACACGAGGTATACCTGTAGTGGTGGCAGCAGCACCAAAAATCGAACCCTAAGAAGTTAAGGTGGACATAAATATATCCAATCGGAAAGTGATAGCATCCATATCACTCTATCAAGGAGGAACAGTGGGATCAATAACAGGAGTAGCGACAGTAGGTGGTGGTATTCCAATAATAGCAACAGTACGGCTGCTAGGAGGCGACCTAAGCTCCAGATGGAGCTTTCAACAAGCAACCCTGAGATGTCCTGGTTGGCCACAATAATCACACTGACGAGAATCTCCCTATCTCCGCTGATCTGGGGCACCCTGACGGCATTGGTCCGAGCGCTAGCCACTCTGACTGAGGATCCTAAACGAGACCAGGCAATAGCTGCAAGGGCCATCTGGTCGACCGAAGGAGTCAAGGCCGTAACTAGAAGTGATGCAATACAAACGCAACGCTCATGCTGCTCAATCATCGCATATACCTCATAAAGAGACGGAAGCCTCATTATCAACAAGATCTGTGAACAAGGTCCCTCAAACTCATTATAAAGTCCCATAAGGAGCTTGTGAATCCTATCCTCCTGTTCTCGAGTATGCAGGAATGTCATTCTCTCGGGCTCTATCCTCGGAATAGCAGCAAAAGGACATAAAGTTTCATACTCAAGCCAGCACTGGGTCAAATAGCCATAATAATCCTGAACTGTCATATCTCGTTGCTGAGCATATGAGAACTCCTAAGAAAGCTCATAAACACGAACTCCCCGTCCTGACTAAGAATACATCTCTAATAAAGCACTCCATAACTTCGGAACAGAACTATAAAACTGGTGAATCATACAAACAGATAACTCCATCGAGCCAAATAACCATCCAAGAATAACGCAGTTCCCAAAAAATCACACAGAATATTCAAAGTCATCGTCAGCTGGCTTTGGGTGAGATTCCGTCAGCCAACCAAACTTCCCTACACGACCTAAGAAAAGCTGGAATGAACATAACCACTCAGCAAAGTTACGGCCATTCAACAACTGTGTCGTAACCTTCTAAAAGATCATGCCTGACATTGCCAGTAATGCAACTATGTCAGTAGGTACTGTATACTGGTCAAACATAAAAAGGAAAGAACTAATAGATGTCTCAACGGTAGAGGTCTCAACAGTAGGTTTCTCGTGTCCCTCAGTAATAACCATATCAACAACAATACTAAGACACCCGAGACAGAAAAAATAACTCCAAGATAAATAAAGAGATAAAATAAGGGAGAACAATATACCTCAAGTCGAACAACAGTGACAAATAAAGAAGTTCCAGAAAACTCTCAAATAATTAGGTCACAGTGCTCAAAAATCCAAGAAATATAAAAGTGATCTACTACATCAAAAGCAGATCAACGGAAAAGAGAATTTGTTCCCCTCTTAAAAAAGTCCTAGATACTGTAACTTGGCAGCACTGTGACGAAGTGTACAAAGGACGAAGCTACAACGAAAAGCGTGACCCGATAATGGATTAATGAATGGGCAGGACAGTGACCCAGCGGTAAAGGTGGGTTGCTGCTATTGCTAAGTTGGGCAATAGGCTGGTCTAGGTTAGGTTCAGTCTGGGTTGGGTTTGATTTAATATGAGTCTGTGCTTAAGTGGGCAATGTATTGGATTTGTCGGTGGTTTTGGATGGGAGGCTAGGTCTGATGCCCTTTGAATGCTAGTTTATGTTGTTTGTCAGTTTTGGGTGTGATGCTAGTGCTGAGTGGGTCGGTCGCTTGTAAAGTATTTTGGGCAGTCGGTGGTGAGGTTTATGTGAGATTTGTGGTGAGGTTTATATGGCTAGTTTGATGTTTGTTGTCACTGGGCAGTGGTGATGTTTGTTTGTGGTGATATTTGTATGTGGCTGCCAGAAGTCGGTGGTGATGTTTGTTTGTTGTGGCTGTCGCTGGGTTACTGCTGCTGCTAATCTGGAGCAGTCATGGTGGCTGGTGGCAGTCTGGTGGAGGAGGGGGTAGAGTTAGGGTTAGGGTTGTGGCTCTGATACCAACTTGGAATAAACGTGAGTGAAAAAAAGATACAAACTAAGTATAGAGCTCCCGTACATATAACCAAGAAAAATTACAATAAAGATAAAAAGGTAAAACGGAAAAACTCTAATAAACCCTAATAAACTAAGCTGCTATAATTCCAACACAGATAGCCGAGGCCAAAGAACAGCGATTTATGGAGATTGAATGTCACCAAATCAGACAAGGGCATGCACCAAAATGAAGTCTTTGGGCTTTTTCAGTTTTCTATTTCTGTCTCACAACTAAACCATTAAATAAATAAATGAAACTTACAAAAGGCCTCAATTAATGAAACAACCAAGCCTGACATATACAATTTTACAAGTATAACATTTGTGATTCACACAATCATATTAGGGGAAGACCTTGCATTATCTCTGTTATGTCTATCTTTTGTTGCCACTACAAGAAATTTGAACCGAGAAAAATGATTGTATTGTGGAGAAGAATGGCTGACTAAAAAAAGAGGGGTTTTAGGGGGCTTTGATTATGGGAGAGGGTAGCAGCGGCGGAATAATTATGCAAGGAACACATACATAATGCAAGTCCGACCCCCAAAACTATTATGTTGAAAGAAGACCCTTTTTAAAATTTTTCTCACTCACATCTTCTCCTAAGATAAAGGTTATTGGCAAAGTATGAGACTGAAACAATATATAACTAAAACAAGATAATGGAAAGCAATAGGATCTATACAACAAGTACAATAAGGAGACATAACATGAGCATAGCATCCATTCCCCTCCCTCATACATTTTGAAAACAAAAGGCACTTCAATGCGCGCTCTGATTACTTTGAGTGTGATTGGCCAGAGGGCACAGATAAAAGAAGCATAAAAAAAATACAAAATTCAGTACTAAACTTGGCTTGTTTCCCTTCTCACTCCACTCATCATATTGACAAACTAAGTCGCAGTGCTATAAAAAGCCCCACTACATAACTAGTTGAATCTGAAAAAGAATCTATATCCATGCTCAGGGCTGGCTCCACCCCTAGGCAAGTGAGGAGGTCGCCTAGGCCTACACTCGCCTAAGGCCCATTCACGTATGTCTCTTAAATGATATGACTAAATTTTAAAAAATTATAAAAAAATTAGGATGTTACATCAAACAATCAAAAATTTAAAAATATTTTCCTTTAAATCATAAATATATGTACATTGGAAAAGAAAAGAAAACAGATCGCCTCATATTCTCGTATGAAAACTTAGAAGACTCTACTCTCTCATTTTATTTGAATTCTCAGGCCTATTTATTGAGTTTCATTTTCTTGAATTATAATTTAGAGATAATTTTGATCTTAATATAATCATACACATAGTGTGTTTGTTTTGCAAGTGGTTTTCCACCTTAAATATATTTACTAAAAGATATGAATTTTGAAATTAAATACAAAAATTACCAAATTATTCTTCTAAAAATAATTTACGGCCACATTTAAAATTTTGCTAGAACCTCAAGTATTCTTGGGCCGGCCATGTAATTTACAGCCGCATCTAAAATTGATAGAGTGAAACAATTGCTCGAGCCAATGGTTTCTGAATCATAGGTCGCTTTGGTACGTGGTACGGGTGCACAATATAACGCTTTCTTAAATACACGATACTATAGAATAGGCTTACCTGGTATAACATTTTGGGTTGCAATTTATTTTGGAACTCTTATATAAATCATTTTCACTATTATACAATATTATATAATACAGAACATTCATAAACAATAAATCAGTTACCACTTATCTTATAATTGTGCATGATTTTCTATTATTTAAAATAATATATAATTATAAATCTTCATTTATATAGTCAATTAATATGTAGTTTATATATATGTTACATGCTCTAAAACGAATTGATTTAGGGTTAATTTTACAATTTGGGATCGTCCATTTTGGTAATCTGGATCGCGAATCCACCCCGTTGAGATTGATGTACCCAGACCGTGGATCGTTAGAAATTTAGTGAATTGTGGTAACCAAGATTCTATGTACTTGGCCATGGAGGCTCCAAACGAGTTACAATGATAGCACCACTAGTGGTTATGGTTGACCTTAGGTCCTCAGGTAATCAACACTATAGAGGTACCCAAGCAAGAAAAATCTGCCCTGCCAAGACCCACCAGCACATCAAATTTATGGTGCTCGCATAATCTCCAATTTGCTTGAAGAGAAGCATAAACCAGAGCAATAAAAAAAAAGTGGGGGGTAAACAGGAACAAAGGACACTTTCCGCACCTGCAAACTAACATTCCAAGCTCACAACACTTACGACAGATTAATGACACAAAGGAAGCAATCAAAGCATCAGCTCTCAAGATAAATTCAAAAAAAAAAAAAAAAGAAAATCAAACAACAAATTCAGAAGTTTACAGTTTTATTAGTGCATGTGTTCATGCAACTACATACATATTTTTTGTTGAACCTTAGCATGTAAATATTATCCTCCAGAAACCTAAAAAGAAAAAGCAAAAAACAAAATTAAATCCCCCCTTTCATTTTTATATGAATCCTATTTACTATCCTGGTTGAAAACCGCGAGTATTTTCCGACAATCATTAAAACTACCAAAATAGAAATAACCAACTAGACAGATATATAATCAACAAAACTACCCAAAAATAGAAATGTCAACAATAATCAAAGAATAAATAAATAAAACAATAAAATACGCACGCGCACACACACACACAAACAAACAAATCAAAGCTAATATTCATATACAAAGAAACGGTGAGTTTAGACAGCGAGATATACCGTGCTTCCCCACCGGTCTTTCTGGTCAACTTCAGCCCCACTTTGGAGCAACAGCTCTACCACATCACTAAACCCCTGGCACGCCGCCACGTGCAGGGCAGTCCGGTCATCGATATCCCGGTAATTCACATCTGTACCCGAATCTAACAGCTCCTTAATCCCTTCCAAATCACCCTCATTTGCAGCGTACATCAGCCTTACCCTCGGATCAATGTCGATTATGCTCTCCCCATCTTCTCCCTCCTCTGCTCCAACCGAATCGTCATAACCCCGGTCCGGTGCCAAGGATGATTGCTTCCCCAATGCAAATCTCACCGGCGGCTTCGACTCCATTGTCGGAAATTCAGAATTTTCGCACTGTTCAGACCAATTAAAGCCCTAACTTTTCAATGTTTCACGGATTGAACCAGACTCTGTTTTGATCAAAGAAAAAACCAGATTCTGGAAATTTTGAGCTGTTAAACCCTAGTCTGACACTGAATTTTGATATAATTTCGGTGGTCAGAAAGCTAAAACCCTAAATTTTCGGAATTTAATGGAAAAAAACCCAGAGTTTTTGAAACTCAAAAATCTTAAACCCTATGTTCGACCTGAACTTGCAATATATCCAATGGTTTTGAAAGGTTTGATCAACTAGAATTGTAACTATTGTGTAGAAATCAAACAAATTAGTCTACAGTGAGAATGTTTTCAAGTTTTGAAATTTTGGAGAATATATGGGTCTTCATGTGTCTCTGTGTCTGTGTGTGTGTGTGTGGAGAGTGAGAGACAGAGAGAGAGGGGTTGTAAAGTAGATAGTTGCGAGAAGTAGGAAACTTAATAGCTGAGGTTGCAGAGATTCAATAAAATGTTGACGCAGTGAAATAGGAGGAGAAGCGTGTGGTTTCACGCATTGTGGTGCGTGTGGGAGTTTGGGTACTCGCGAAAATCAGATATGACATGATCCAATCTTGTACTCGCCATATTCTTTCTTACAATTGGCATTTAGACGTGTCAACTAAAAACTTATGGATGAAGGCAGTGAACATGTGAACATGCGTAATAAAGTTGAAGTAAAGTTTGATTATAATATCTTAATTTTGATATGAATAATTTATTTTTGATCGAATTAAAAAATAAATTAATTAAAATACGTATAAACCGTTTCAGACACTTGATAGTTGAGAATTTTTTGTAACGGATCATTCAACAAGTCATATAGTGTTTTTTTTTTTTGAATGTTCATATATTTATAATTTAAATTAAAATATTTTTTTAATGTTTGATCGTTTGACATAACATTCAAAATTTTTTATATATTTTTTAAAATTTAGTCATATAATTTTATGCGACATACACAAATAAAACCCTAGTCAACGGTCTCACTTGCCTAGGGCGGAGCCAGCCCTATAAACACTATTGCCAACATTGTGGTTCACTCATGCAAGTTATATACCTAATCAACCGCGTTGAACGTTTACATGCTCTTTATGGTTTTCACATTAGAATCTACTCTCTCCTTTATAGTCTGTCTTTAATGACAAGCAATCCCCAACAACACGTCCTTAAAGGATCAATATCCACAATTTTAGGGGTATAATATTCAAAGCTTTTTATTATTTTACTTTATTTTTTCTTTTTTTTTTTGGCTAATTTATAGTTTATCATTTCAAATTTTTTTTTCGAAATTTCCAACAATATCCAAAAAAAACATATGATTGATTGAGATTGTTGATTCATTCAAATGAGGAAAACTTGGGTGAACCCTATAATTTATTAAATGAGATTCGTCGATCATATGGTGAATGATTATATTCTAAGTTGATGTTCTTGTCAATGATGTTTGAATGAAAAGAATTGGCAAATAAAATGTACAAAGAACTTGTAGATGTAAACTTGAGATTTTTAAAACGACAATCGATGGATCTGTTCAAAAAGTAAAAGTTTAAGAAAGCGCGTATGAATAACAATGAAGAATTTGGACAAGAATTTTTATTTTACTAAATTAAAAAAAGCAAGTTGAATCAATTAATTGTTTGTTGGTGGGAGAGGGCATCAAATATTGGTTATCTAAGTAGTCACAAATGATTTTTTTTTTTGTTTTTTAATTATAATGTTTCTAATCTTTATTGGATGGAGGGGATGTTGACCAAACCAATATTGCAATTGGTGACAAAGTCTACCTTACATTGTGGATGTACATTCCAAGGTTACAAGGTCTTTGGCATGCCATTTGCCAAATTATCCACTTACAAATTTATTATTAATAATCGTGACAAAATATATGCTCTTGCTTTTTTAATGTTCAACAAAGCTTATTGTATGTTTTTTTTAATATAATTTTTTGACAATATCAATGAATTACTAGACTAGTTGTTTTATGAATCATCATGGATTAGTTTGAAAGATCAAGGTGTTACGGCATTACTAGGTAATTGTGGAGGGCAAGGTTCAAAAATGTCTAAAGGGCAAAAAGACTAGTTGATATCATGGGCGGAGCCACCCTTGGCCTAGGGTGGCCATCGGCCTACCTTCAAATACTTTAATAAAATTATACCTATTATGTGTATACATATGTTATTCATTTTTTTAATTTGTTTTTTTTGTGTCCACCCTGTCATTTTGGTATAGGCCTATACCTAAATATCCGTGAATACATTACGTGTAACCTTCGAATAGGTTCAAATGATTTTTGGATAGTTAGAGTTAGTTTATATTTTTGAATAAAATTACATGATCTTTTTTGTTATTATGTGAAATTAGGATCATTGTGTAACAAAATACTATCATTTTGGAAGAATATATATATATAAAAATCATGCTTATAAAAAATCGAAGTAGGACCCCATAGACATAGGGCAAAACTAAGAGAGGAAAATACGTGATTGGTAACTATGCTATTTTCCAATGAATGTGTGATGCTTCAACGAACGGAAAATTTTTATTTATTTAAGGAAATAGCGAGTTGAGGACATTACTTTTTAAAATCTTTTGGTCCTTGTACCCAAGATTTTAGTCTTTGTTTGTTTTTTTTTTCCAATTTTTTTTTTTTGAGAATATAAGTTTTGATTTGTTTGTAATTATATGTTTAGTGCATATAATTGTCTCAAATTTTTTGTTTTTGCGATCAACCTCTATATGTAAGGGCAAATCCTAAATTGAGTTCTTAGCTTCGTCTTCGATTGTTATTAAGTTTTTTTTCGTAGCAGAGATTGTTATCAAGTTTTAAAGCTTAAATTCTGTCTACACAAGTTATTTAGCGACTTTCATATCTTTTTATAGGAGTGAACACGTCGATATACAGAAAAATTATGGGTACAATTTTTTCAATATTAGCTAACGATTAAGTCTATTTCTAAACTACATGCATCCCACTACAAATGGTTGACACTACGAAGAGTGATCGGCCATCACTATACAACTTACCCTAACCGAATTCTTTGTGCATCCATGTCTTAAAGGCAATAAAGAAGCACATTTAACTAATCATCCTTAATTAGTCCGAAAGATTAGAAATTTATAATAACTACCCATCTATATCATCCAATAATTATTAGTGTGAGATTCACTTACCCATTTGTTATTCTATCATTGAACGATTATACTATGTTAACGTAATGATATGATGTAACCGTTACATCAAATATTTACTCAGTTGTGTCGGGGAAAATTGACATTTTTTTTTTCGAGGGGTGAGGTGGGGCTTGAGGTTGGAGTGTGTGTGGTAGGTGCGGCAGAAATTGCATATATCCCGTTAACAACATCTATACTTATTTACTATGTACTAAAATAATCAATTTAGGAGAAAAAATGCTTGAAAATTATTTCCTCGCCAAGTTCTATTTCCTCCCAATTTTGAAGTATTTAATTAATAATTTCTAAATTTTTGGTAACTACTTTACATTTAATTTTTGGTAAAATATCAATTTAGCACATGAATAAGTAAATTTCCTAATAATGTTAGAATGAGGTGGGAGCGGGATGAGAGTAGGAGTGGGGGCGGCGGTAGCAATGACAATAAATAAATATATATTATAAATTTTGTGTATTGTATAAAGTGCTCGCAAGTATAACATTAATCAAATGCATATACCCAAAAAATAATTAACCAAACGCATTTTCCTAATTTATTTTGTACATAATGAGATTACATAAATTAGAGTAAATCAATTGAAATGTTGCAAATATTTCCTATTAGTAATTCACTGATTATTTCACAGGGAAGAGGGCATATGCATAATAAATAAAAAACCACAAAAATGTTCAAAGTATTAGGGTGTTTTCTGTAATAATCAATTTTATGGCAATAACAGGAAAAAAACTTTAAAAAGTGATGGGGCGCACTGTATTCGTAAAAAGTCCAAAAATCAGGGGAAACTCGGTAATTAACCCAAAGTTTCTGTCTCACCCTAGCTTAACAGAAAACACTCCGTCTCGGTCTCTTTTCTCTCTCCGTCTTCGTCTCTGTAAAGAAGTCACATATCTCGGTCGATTAGAAATACAGCGGGGTGAGGAGAGAGAAAAGAGAAACGCGTAGAGAGAAAAAGCTCTAGAATCGTTCGCCAAAAGGGTTCAAAGGTTAGAGTTTTTTTTCCACTTCAAGACTCTTTTGTGGATTTGATGCATTTTGCAAAGGCCGTTGTGCAGAATGGTTTGTGGGTTTTATTTATTTATTGCATATTGCGGTAAAATTTTGAGTTGGGTTCTTTATTCTTTTGCTTACTTAGATGGGTTTTAGGCTTCTTTATTATGGGTTTATTGGGGAAGTATAAGGAAGTGTTTGATTTTATTGGATTATTTAGCTTTTATGACTAGCAAAGGAAGTGAGTTTAATTGTTGCCTTTTGTGAAGAGTTGTTTTTCAGTGTAAAAAGCTTTTTGTTTGGGAATTTTGCTTGAGAATGGCATTCCTTTGGAATGGATTTATCTCAGATGAGTAGTTTGTTACCACTGCTGTTTGCTATCTCTGAACTTGGAAAAAATATTGGGCGTAACCGTAGTGTAAAATTGTCCACTACGGTGATACCATGCTATCACTGTCACGTCACATGGTGTTAGAAGACAACAAATAGGTAATATGGATCCCACTAATCCTATGTGTTGCTGATTGGATATGGTGGTTACCGGTAGTTACGAAAATAGTGGGATTCACTTTCTCCATTTCTAATTTTTTAAGTGGATGGTGACACCACGTGGCAGTGACGACGGATTAAATATTTACTCCTCTATGTGGTACCTTTTAATAGAGATTTCTTGTAGCTGCTTTGAGTACAAGTCTTCTTTTTACATCTTTTGAATGGAAAGAGATAGGATACATGAAATGGGAGAAGAGTAGGAACATAAAGATTTATGTGGTTCGGCAGCCGCATCCATTAATATAATGCTTAGAAGGGCTGCCACTACTATTGATATTTTGATTATATTGTAGTGTCGAGTGTAATTGATGCAAGCAGAACACCCTAATAATAGGGTGAGCATTGCATATGCATACAAATTACAAAGTCTTCCAAGCCATTGATGATGGTTAATTTCCTACCTCAGATCAAGTCATTTTGTCTGGTAAAGTTATCCCGTCAATTATAGGATCTTTAAATCTTGAAAATAACAGACTCCATTTTTGGAGTAAAACTGAAATATTGACCTTTTTCTCTGTTTCATTTCTTTAGAATGGATTTGTTTTTCAACATAATTTAAGATTGAACTGATCTCAGGTGACTGAGGCTGGTGCTTTGTCTTGAAGCTAATGGGTTGTCTTCAAATAAATGCCAATTAATTTGTATTCCAGCGTTTATCAAAATTCAGTTTTGTTTTCATAATTGCACATTACCAAATTCAGGTTTTTTGATGAGTGTCAAATCAGTTTTCAGCTACTAAACTGGATGTTGAACTCTTTATTTTCATTAAATTTTTTTTTAATTCATCATTGGTCATAAAATATATTATAAAGTAGACTCAAAAAATAAATAAGAGGCAAAAAGTATAACTAATGTGAATTATGACTCACAAGTCCTTCAAATGACAAATTAGGTGCGAAATATTCCTTTCTTGAGATCTAATCTCAAAGATCAATGCTCTGTAAAGCCATACTTTTGAAACATTACATTGCATTGAGCAATAAACGATCCATAAAGCTCTTTCCTGAAGTCGTTATAAACAAAATTAGGAATTTAAAGAAGAGAAGGTGCGAAATATTCCTTTCTTGAGATCTAATCTCAAAGATCAATGCTCTGTTAAGCCCTACTTTTGAAACATTACATTGCATTGAGCAATAAACGACCCATAAAACTCTTTCCTAAAGTCGTTATAAACAAAATTAGGAATTTAAAGAAGAGAAGAAGGTAGTTGCAATGCTCTATAACATACTTTCATTTCTTGTAACCCAAAAAAATGTTTGTTTTTAAAAATTCTAATGAGCTGCTTGATACATGAAAAAATTTATTGGGCTCCCACTTATCTAGAGGGTACCTAACAGAATGTTAGGTTTAACTTTTACTTATTATGAGAGTTAGATGTTTTACAAAGAAGGCCAATAAATCAACAATTTGAATTTTGTTTGTATCTTAATGTAAATTTGCAAAGTTTTTCACTCCGCATATGGAAAAACATTCAATAGCTCATTTTTCAATTAAATGTCAACAAAAATGTGTTTATTATGTGTCCTGTGTTGGGATATATACTAATTTACCTCCAAAACATATGGTGCTGTATGCATGATGCCCTTTGTTAAGTTACTTACTAAGATGAAATCAATTGGAACCTGAATCTAGATTGTAGCACCGTGAAAACAATGTGGGTTCTCTACTCTGGAGAGCAATGGACAGTGTTCAAATAAATACACTGATGGGTCTGCATTCTATTACAAGTTTTGTGTATTTGGTTCCAACATAACTACTACATTATGTAATCAGGCCTTCTGCGAGGGTTTCATTATTTGACCTGATAGTTTGTCATCATTTTTTTTACTTTTTTCCTTTTTCTAATTTTAGGCTTAGTTTCTTCATGTTGTTCTCTGCATGTTCTGTTCCCTGATTCATTTTCCAGCTTGATTTTTAGGGTTTCTAAATGGAGGACACTCGGGGGGTAGAGGAGAAACAGTCTGTTGAGATTCCAGAAATTACACCTCATAAGAAGCAAGAAACACTTGAGGAGATACTTTCTAGGCACAGGTGATGTATCCATGAGAAACCAATGCATGCCATTTCCTATTTTAATGGTTGTATTATTATTTTCTTTTAGTGTTTTCTAGTTTTTATTCTCTTCCTGTTGGTTAAGGGAGAAAGGAGGAAGGTTTGGTTTGTCTCCTTTGTGTATGGGTGAGTTTGAGGGGAAGGGAAGGGAGGTTGCTGAGGCGTGTATTGCAATGTGGCTTCCTCCACTGCTACCCGACCTGATAAAAAAAAAAAATAGCACCCACTGCCTGCCACCCACATCCCCAACACCCACACAAACGAAAGTAGAAATTACACAAAGAGTAACAAAATGTGAACACTCCTATTGAGGGTGAGAAAACTGCTGCAGTGGATTGGAGACCATTTGGAGCTTGGGGAGATTGAAAATCATGCAATATTTTTCTGAAACTAGTGAAGAAAAGTATGTTCATTAGTAGGGAAACCAAATAAAATTATTGAAAGATTTGAATGTGAATGTCTGACTGAGCACTTTAGCTTATAAACCTGATAAAGGAAGCAGGAAAAGAGATTGCTAGGTTTTGCACGAGGACTAGATCCAAAGTGGAAATTTTGGAGTGCCAAAGGTGAGGAATAAATTCTTGATGATGATGAAATCTCAAATTTGCAGGTGTTGGAAGCAGATGTGTGTGAGTTGTCCGAGCTAGGCATTTTGGAAGTTGATACTAAACCCTCTTGGGTTTTATTAATCTCACTCGAGCTCACCCTTGAACGGAATATCTTGCTAATCCAGCCCAGTGGTTGAACAATTGAATTTAACATTTCAAAAGCAACAGGGGATGCATTTTGTGTTGTGCACAAAATAAAGCGACTACATTTAAAGAACGATATAACAATGATATTCTGTGCATGGAGGCCTCCCCCACCCTACCCCTCTTCTTTTTCTCTCTCTTGTTGTTGCTGTCTTGTGTCTTCTACTTTTGGTAGGAGGATCCTATTGGCTATTGCACTTCCATAGTTAGTTAGAGCTATATCATGGTTGAAGCGCTCTTCGTAATAGTAAGTGTTATTGTCATTGTACTTGTTATACATGAGACGATGCAGTTGTTATTATGTTGGCATGGTTCTTGTATGATAATTAAGTAGCTGAACTCTAAAAGAAGAATTCTTGGTTGACGACTACAGCCCCGTATATTGGGCAAGATGTAATGACAGTATGAACATTAATTCTTCGATTCGACCTCTTGTTTATAATATATTCATATTTTAATATAATGCCTTACAGGAAGGAGATTACCCAGCTGCAGAACAACGAAGTTGCACTTAAGAAGGCAGCAGCTAAAGGCAGCAAGGCTGAACAGAAAGCTAAGAAAAAACAAGTGGAGGAAGAGATATCCCGACTTTCTGCAAAGCTCAAAGAAAAGCATGCAGAGGAACTTGCATCTTTTGGCTATAGCAGCAATAATGGGAAGGAGAAGGGCAATCTAGACACTTTGGTGAGGGCCATAGCTGGGGTTTCTGTCACTGGTCAAACTGACCAATCAAAGCCCAGTAAGAGTGTGAAGAGGCGTGAGAAGAGAGCACAAGAAGAAGCGGCCAGAGAGCAAAGAATACAAGAAGAGCAGAGCAAAATCGTAAGTGACCGAATGATTGAAAGTGAAAAGTTGGAAAGCAAGCTAGAACCCCTTGGCTTGACTGTCAATGAAATAAAACCAGATGGGCACTGCCTCTACAGTGCCGTTGAGGACCAGCTGGCCCTTATCTCAGGCGGGACTTCTCCTTACACTTTCCAAGAACTTCGAGAAATGGTGGCTGCTTATATGAGGAAACACTCATCAGATTTCATCCCATTTTTTCTGTCAGAGAATGTGGCAGATGGAGCATATGATGATTCTCCTGCAGAGAGGTTTGAGAATTACTGTAGAGAAGTGGAGTCAACAGCAGCATGGGGTGGACAATTAGAGCTTGGTGCTTTGACTCATTGCTTAAAGAAACATATCATGATATTTTCAGGATCCTTCCCTGATGTGGAGATGGGAAAGGAGTACAAAACAGACGGAACTGGCTCGTCCAATTCAAGTATTATGCTATCATACCATAGGCATGCATTTGGACTTGGTGAACATTATAATTCTGTCGTCCCAGTTTAATCGAGTTGGTCTTAATATAACATAGATGTAAGGATTCTTATGCCTATTTTCTTTCTTTTTATGTAATGTTAACAGTGTTTCTGTGACTTTTGTGTTGAAAATTTGTCATATGACTCCTGTGTGAGGGTGTTTTGTGATGCCACTCATGTATGATGAGGACTAGATCAACGCAACTCGCTCGGGTTTTTGATAGGCAAACCCGGGTGAAGCTGAGGAGAGCTCAACAAGGTCACCCCTACTGCCTCCTCAGTCCTCACTAATAATACAGAAATCGCCTGAAAATAAGATTCAAAGGGGCCAAACCTCCAAAGCATCAATGCTTGAGAAGATATTAGTGCAAAGGCAAAAAATTTAAGAAACTTCATGGTAGAAAGAGTTATCGTGCCAGAAGTTAGAACGTTTTAATGTTAAGTTACAACCTTTTGAGGGTCAGCATTATAACTTAGGAGTTAAGATCGATTATAAAATGTCGTGATTGAGTATGAAAAAATATAATTTTTTGATGGTTAAGTTACCCTTTTTAAAAATAGAGTAAATAACTGTTTGAGTCATTTGCGATTCTTCATAAAATTATGTAATCGATCATGAGTGGTATTTTTTGTTACGATAAATATTACCTCAAATTTGTTTCAATTATTAATGTTCTAGATTTATTGTTATAATTTAAACTTCGAACGTACACAATCATTAGTAAACTACGCCCATTAGTAAACTATGCTCATTAGCTCAGAAAAGCCAGTTATTAGAGATCAGAGTGTTGGGGAAAGAACTAATCGGAAATCGCGATATCTTTTAGCTCAGTAGTTGCAAAACTAGCAGAAAATATTGTACCTATTATTGTAGAATTCAATGGGGACAAACTAAGATTGTGTATATGTGGCGCCTTTTTTTTTATATCTCTTTTTTTTGTTGCCTTGGGCAGTGATGTATTTGGGGTACACTATATATGATTACTTTTTGGTAATTGAAAATACCTTACTGAAAAAAAAAGATTGCGTATATCTCATCTTTTACAAACCGTGTAATGACAGAAGCCTCGTTCACTAGATTGTCTCTTTTCTTGTGTAAAATAATAATATATAACTTGAGAATTTTTGAGTAAATTTATCTAGAGGTGTCAAACGTATAGTTCCTTGCCAGCCCGGTTTATTAACATTTGTGCTTAACTGTACTTCGTGTCATGTGTGACACTGTCTATTTCAAATCGTGTACGTGCCCTTGCCCATGCTATGCCTTGTGTGTTTGGACCTGAGCCCAACCTAGACCATGGGCACGGTCCAATTCGTGCTAGTGTCATACCGTTGCCAGTGTCATGTCTTGTGTTTTGGTCGTATCGTACTTGTGTGTTGATCATGCTTGTTTCATGCCTATATATCAATTCTTAACCAATTAATGTGAATAATTTTTTTACAAATTTTGTGAGAAAGAAAAGAAATGAGGTAAGGTAATTATAAAGAATTTAAAAATACTGGATTTCAAATTTACTCCCTCAAACTAGCTGTTAGGATGGGAAAAAATGGCATATAGAAGCAAAAAGTGTAAATTTTGGATTTACCCTTAAACTAGCCCTATATAGTTATTGGGAGGGGTAAAAATATAATTTCAGGCCAAATTTTCAAAAAAATGACTGTTAGTCGTGTCGTGCTTGTGCCCATATCCTGTGCCCGTACGTGCGTGGGCCAACCCAATTTACACCTCTAAGTTTACCATGACATTTGTAATTTTTTGTTCTAGTATATTACTAATCAGCCCCCTTCCCCCCCCCCCCCCAAAAAAAAATATTGCTAATCACGCTACAAAGTGTGAATGAAGTTGATATATGTAGGTGAAGAAGTGACCCAATGGTAAGTTTCATTTCCACCTGCAGGTGATTGTGAATTCCAACTTCATTTCCTCCTCTTTATCCCAAACTAAAAGGAAAAAAAAAAAAGCCAATACATAAAGTAGAAGAGAGTGCAAAAAAATTTAAAATAATATAAGAGCTATCCTATGGCAATCTATAGAGAGGTTGTAGAGGAAGTTTTCTTTGTTTTGTGTGTGTATGTGTATGTGTCTCAGAGAGAGAGAGAGAGAGAGAGAGTACTTGGGTGATGCATCTGTTTTAAAATATAAAGTGGGTTGCGAGGTTGATTCCTTGCTTCATAGTAGTACTGGATTAGTATTGATTCCTCAACTACCAATTCTAGCAAATTGCATGGATGGGTTGCTGCGAATACTAGCCATTTATGCCTAATAAGAACTTTTTTCACATAAAATCACATGATAATAATGACACTAAAATAAAATTAAGCACATTTTTTTACTATACAAATCTTGTGATCAGTTGCATCAAGGAATATCTCTATGGCATTTCTATTCACCAAGGTCCTCGAGGCATCTTCTTCTTCCTTCCTTCTTTTTTTTGGTAAGTAAATGATTTCTATTAACCAAGGATCATGTACAAAGGTACACCCCATTTACAATTACCATCCAAAAAGCAAGTGAAAGTAAAAATTGGCAATCAGGAAGGTTGTTCAACCTAACTTTGATCAACCATCCTAAGATCAAAGAACATTTGGCTAGTTACAAAAGGCACAAGAGCTTTTTGGAGTAATCCTTTATCAATTATTGTGAATGATTGATTTTTTCAATCTTTTTTGACCTTGGTCCCATAGGAGCAAGATAGAAAGATTGAGAAATAGAAAAATCTGATTTTGTTCGTTCTCAATAGCTATGGAATCTACAGACAACCAATGAGGGACGATCATAATCAAATAGGAAAGATTTCGCGAGACTCTACTTGACAAATAAGTCGATTATTTAAGGCATTTTGTCATTGTTGTGGGCCCTCCAATTTGGATCTCATTCTATTCCAATTGTACCACACCACTCACCTGGTCCATTATAATTAAGCTAAAATTCTATTTAGACAATAGTACACCAAGTGGAAAAAAAAAAGGTTAAGAAACATAAAAACAATAAACAAATCAAATTTTCTATATGATACCAGCTACACAGCATTACCGACTCAAAATCAAGATATTTGTATTTAACACGAACTTAATCAATTTGTTATTCATATTAATAAATCGTACCACTTAAGGTCATGTTGAGAGATTAACGGCAATCTTCTGAATTATGCTTGTATCGTGTGAAGGATTAGTACTCATGCATGGTTGTCATCATCATATTACCTATGGTCTATGATGTCATTTTAAGAATATTCTATTCTTACAAGGTCACATTTTGCATGTTAATCTCTGTAGAGTGAGACGGAGAAAGTCTTCAACGTGCAATGACCAAGAATAACTTTGAAATCCACAAAAAATTTTGGAACATTCCTTCAGCCATTTTTTAAACCGACAAACAGTGACAAACACCACCTTTAGGCTAGTATATATAGTCTCCATGGCAGGCCAAGTTTCTCACAGCCAAGCTTCTTATACATCTTATCTACCTCATCAAGATCCTAATACAACCCGATTCGAGTTAGACGTTATTTGGATTCGACGATTGATCATTTGATCTAATTCGTCATAAACTCAGCATTTCGTTATCATCTTCATATTTTTCTATTGTGGGAATGGATGATGTGAAGAGGTTGGCTGCGACCAAGCCCGTGGTGATCTTCAGCAAAAGCTTTTGCTGCATGACAGACTACGTTGAGACACTGATACGCAACTTTGGGGCGAACCCTACAATTTATGAGCTCGATGGATTTCATAATGGACAGCAAATGGAGAAGGCACTGCTGACATTAGGATGTAACCCGAGCGTACCTGCAGTGTTTATGGGGAGGGAATTGGTTGGTGGTGCTAAGGAGGTCACCAGCCTCAATGTCAGGGGAGAGCTGAAACAGCGGCTCATAGACGCCAGTGCGATATGGGTTTAGAAAGCAATACATAAGATCCAGCTCTAATACAATATTATTGCGTTTATGAGTAGCGGTTTTTCTTTAGTAGTAAATGAAAATAAGCACGGGCACAAGGTGTAAGTAGTTATTGAGCTTCTTTTTCATAGAAATTGTTCAATGACGAACTATGTGGTAACTTGCATATGTATTTTCGTCTTAAATAATTTTTTTTTTGGTAAGTAAACTGATATTATTCTAAAAAAAGATGTTCAACAACGCTCACGACATGTTGATACGTGCCACCCAAACCCAATAAAGAAGGATGTCGACGAGGCTTGATCTTCACTCTGTTGGATGTTGTTGAATAAGAATTGGAATATGAATCTCACTTTCTTCCAGTATGATTAGCAAAACAAAATAGAAACATATAAAATACATGATTTTAATATCTCCTCTATGGTAAGCATGTGTAATTCTATGCTTGGGCTGCCTAAACAATTAAGCAAGTTGAAAAATTAAGCTTCAATATGATTGTATTGCTTTAATAAACAAGACCATATGAACTATATACAAGATGATTGTAAGTTAAGACTGTTAGTATGTTAGAGCACATGCTTACTACAAAATCCAGTACTCCAAGATTTGAAACTTTGATTGTTTGAATTCCTCACATGGGATTCACGGAGAGTCTTGACCGTTGCTTGCTTATTGACTCAATCAAGGATCTTCTTTCCTTTTTTGGTAGCCTTGGGTACTATAAGTTGCATTGTTGGGACAATTGCAAAGGCACACTAAGGAGCAACATCCCTGGTCAGCGTACTTGACTCTCTCTCTCTCTCTCTCTCTCTGTTTTCATTGTTCTGTCTTCCTTTGTCACACACTTTTGAAAATTCCAATTTCTTTTGCCTATAATTTCAATTTCTGATCTGTTGGGCTAATCAAGTTGAAACCTATTCTTGGCTCTTCACATTATGAGTGTACATTTGTAAAAAGTGGTTGTTGTATTCTGGAGGGTAGTCGTCATTGTCCTGCTACACCAAGATTCATACTTCTAATAGAGATGGTGATGCAATCATCCAAAGAGATCTATCACTATCTAGTTTGGATAAAAAAAGATGATAATGAGCGAGACTGATATATATGATGAGATCTATCAATATGCTATTAGATAATGATTGATGGTCTATCTCATATTTATTTGATGTATTTACTCAGTTTATAAATAGGGTTGATGTCTTTGTATACAACCCCTGAATAGACATCGATGTAGCTTTTGGGGTGTTTGGTCCTAGATGTTGGCACATTGCACATTGTGTCGAACCACGTATATTTTGATGTTTTTTATGTTCCTTCTTTTTCTTATTTCAATTTCTCTTTTAGTATAAATATCTTCATGATATCAGAGTAGGAGATCCTGTGTTCAAATCTCATTGATACCCTAATTATTAAAAGAATTTTCACGTGTTAAGTCCAAAATTAGCCTGCATGTGAGGGGGCGTGTTGAAGTATAAATACTTAGGTTGCACTCTTTTTAACAATTTAAGCTTTAGATTAACCGAGACACACTACTTCTCAACACTTTTCTGGGGACCTTTCACCCAGACGATACCCTCCTTGTCATATGGAGAGGGGAGGCGAGTAGCATAAGGAACGTCGTCCTACGGAGCATAGAGAAAGGCACGGGAGTTTAACCCATCACTTTACACGAGATGATTGGTATGACGATTATAGAAGAACGAATCATATGTGTTTTGTACTAACGCGTGAAGTGGCCACCCATCTACAACACAACTTCATTCAAGATGACTTCATATATTCAGTAAAGGAGAAGACAAGATAGACCCTTGAAAAAATGACCACTACTCATTTTGTTCGGTCCATATGAGAAGCTGAGCCCCCATATAAGTTCTCTCCTCTATCATTCGAGTTGTATGATGGAAATTCTAATCCTGTCCTCCACATTGAGGCCTTTACTAATAAGATGACCCTCTGAATGAGCAACGATGCGTTGACGTGTAAGATGTTCCCCTCCAATTTGTGGGTGTCATCTCTTAAGTGGTTCCATGAGATGCCTATGAATTCGGTCTTCTCTTGGGAACAACTCGCAAGGGAGTTCGTCTCTCGATTCATAACCAATAGTCGGGAGCCAATGACCATTGACACATTCTTGGCGCTACACTAGAAACATGGAGAGACTCTCTGTGGGTATGCCACGAGGTACTTGAAAACCAATACCGGCATAGAAGAATGCGATGAGAAGACCATCACTGTCTCTTTCCTTGGGGAGAATTAAGAAAACAACTCATCATATGGCCGCCCCAGAGTATGTCACACTTACAAGAGCATATAAAGAGGTACATGAAGATAAAGGACGAAAATGGACCAGTCGACTGGCTACCAAAGAAGAACAAGATTGAGGAAGACAACACTCATAACCTATCAAGGAAAGACGAGTCATCCAAGGGAATGAGAGACTCATACCAAGGAACCAATACTGTCTTCAAGGAGCCTATCTATCTAGTTCTGGACCAAATCAAAGATAAGGAGTATTTTAGGTGACCACCTCAGATGATAGGAGATCCATTAAAGTGGGACCAAAACCTCCATTGTTCTTATCACAAGGACAATGGCCATTGGACGGAGAATTGCCTGGTACTCAAGCACCACCTAGAAGATTTGGTCAAGTAAGGTAACAACTTCTTAGTATATTGACAAGGAAAAGACTACTAAAGAGCAAGAAGAGCAACAAATCCAAAAAGATGCATTGTGGGGACTAGATGTATTGCCAAGTTGCTATTGTCGATCGACAGTAGCAAGACCTAACTACTACTGCCTACTTACTATTGCCTACCTGCTACCGCCTACTTACTACTACTTACCTATTACTACCTAGTTATTACTACCTAACTGCTACAGCCTAGCTGTTACTACCAATCGGCACTAGTCAAAGGGGGGGGGGGGTTCTTGCATGAGCCTACTTGCAACCACCAAGTCTTAACTACTCAACTATGGTCCAATGAAGGACTTAGAGTCCTAGTCCAATTCTACTCCGAGTATCAAGGGACTAGTGATAAGGCTAACAATGTCTCTTAGAGAGCATATCTCTTCCTTCAATCTAGGACCTAGTATCCTACTGCGATTCTACCTCGAATAAGTAGGAGCTGGAGATAAGGATCCAAGACCAAGAGTTCTAATCTAACTTTACTCTGTGCAGCTAAGGCTAGGTGACAAGGTTGAGCTAATTAACCAAGAGTTTAGGTTCCTTTGGGATATATCTTCCTATTGCTATACATAAAGGCCTCCAGATACTAGGTCATTTATTCAATCTAAGTTTATTCACTCTATACTTCTCTCTGAGTTACGATCTAACTTAAGCATTAGAGTGACTTAAGCATCGGAGTCGCTTTGACTTCCTCCAGCCATCGGTTTACATAGGTGTTTTCTTATCTTGCAGGTTCACTAAGGCTTTTCCACCACCCTCTCCGTTCGTACGAGGTGGTTACTCTTTGTGTGAAATTATTTTTGCACAATCATCTAGTCCAAAATTTTAAACTGTTGGAGAGAGTGTAGATTTCTCTCTTAGTATAAATTTTTTCAACTTCGAAGGGTGAAATCTATCATTAGGTGTAGTCATTGCTCATGTCTCGAATGATAAATTTTATCAATCTCTCTTTATTACTGTGTTTTGCATCCATATCCATACAACATTTGCAACAATCTTAATGGTAGAGTATATGGCTATGGATTATGCATTGTTGACTGCTAAGGCTTTTCTCGACATTTTAAAATTTTAAAAATTGAAATATTTTTTGGAACCTCTATTAAGAGATGGCAAGAAAGAGATTATTGAAAAAATGGGAACATGCCAACAATATTTGTAGGCGCACAATCCTTAACATTTTGTCTAATGAAATATATTCTTGAGTATGTTGGAACTAAAAATTTTGCCATTGAGAATTTTCTGCGCTACCAGATGATTGATGAAAAAGACATTCAGTCACAAATCAATGAATACTATACATTTCTAGATGATCTTAAGAATCAAAACATTAAACTCCCAAGATGAGTTTGTTGCTGGAGCTTTGGTTGAAAGCTCCCTGAGTCATGGAGAAACTACAAACAATTCTTGAAACACACAAGAAAACACATCCCTAGAAGATGTTATTGTCCACATCATTATTGAAGAAAAGAATAAAAATCAGTTCAAGGCAGCTAGAGCCAAGGATATATATTCCTAGGCCAGTCTAATTGATGAAAAGCCAACCCAAGAGACAATTGAAACAGAAGGTTTGACAACAAAAATTGTAGATTTGATAATAGGCCCAAGACCAACAATCCAACATTCAACAAGAAAGAGAATTGTTTTGTTTATGGAAAATCAAGACAATATGCTCCACATTGCAGACGCAGAAAGAGGAACGACAACCTTGCCAAACCAAGTGCAAATCTGGTTGGGGCAAATGTTATGGCTACAATTGTTTCTTAGTGAACATGGTTGCCGACATCAATGATTGGGTGGTAGACTCTGGTGCTACCAAGCACTTTTGTGATAACAAAAGTATTTTTACCTTCTATACACCTGTAGGGAAAGGAGAAAAACCTGGATACATGGGAGATTTAAGGCTTTCTCCTATTCTGGGAAAAGAAAAAGTTCTTCTCAAACTCACATTTGGAAAAGTCCTGTTTTTGAGGAATCTTGCGTCTGTGTCACTGCTTGACAAGGTTGGGGTAAAAGTATCTTTTGATTCTGATAAACTTATAATGACTAAGAACAATGTGTTTGTAGGGAAGGGATTCTGTAGTCAAGGTCTGTTTGTTCTAAATGTACTTTGAAATTATCAATGGAAATACTAGTACTTATTCTGCTTATATACTTGACTCTATTGATTTATGGCATGGTAGACAAGGTTATGCTAGTTTTTCTTATACAAAGAAAATGAAGGAAAATGGCCTGATTTTTTATATCAATAATACACAAATGAATAAATGTGACATATGCACATAAGCTAAAATTATCAAAAAAAAGTTGTAAATCAGTA